GAGAGAGAGAGAGAGAGACAGAGAGAGAGAGAAAAGAAAAAACCTATCATAACCTGTTGATGGCAGGGTGATAATGAAATAATGTGTATCCCATGAACTGCTGTGCAGCAAGTAAAACTTGTCCCAAAGGATATTTAATGACACTGCAAAATTCTCACAATTTTATGTTAAAAGAAAAGAGAAGGATACAAAACTCTTTGCATTATTACTCTGGTGCTATATAAAAATAGAAGACCTAGAGACAATGTATACAAAAATATGTGGAACTATCAAAAAGCAAAAGTAAAATTACAGAAATTTTAAATGTTCATTACACTTTCTTTTGTCTTCTAGATTTTCTGAAATAAATGTGCACTCTTTTCTAATTAGGGGGACTGGAACTGTGGAGGCATTTACAAAGCAGAGCATGCGCGAGGTGGGTAGCCTGTGGGATCAGAAGGACTTGAGGTGCAAGGCCAGCTCTACACTTTGCAGATGGGCATCCTTGGTAAAGTATTTAAACTCTCTACATCTGTTGCCTTGCTTCTAAGATGGAGAAAAATAACAGCACTTATAGCAGCCAGCTGCTGCAGGGATTAAAACAGAAAATGCTCCCAAGTGCCTGGCACAATGCCTACTGAAAGCCAGCCCTTCACAGACCTCGGGCAACAGCCATTGAGACTTCTGATTGTGACTCAGGCGATTTTACTGGGGTGGTACTGAGACAATGAGACCACAGGCTTTGGAACTGGAAAGATGTGGGTTCAAATCTTGGCTCTACCTGCTGAGGGAACCTAGCTTCACTTCTACAAGATGAGCAAAGACAAGAACCCCCCAAACAACACAGGGTTCCTCAGAAAATGCCTGACAAAGGTAGGAGCTCAATGTTCTTTTTCACTTGCATGATGCAAATTATCAAATCCAGTAGACCCTCAGTTTCAAACAACAGGTGATAACAGAACACTTGGAGTTTCTACTTCCAAGACTATAGCAAGGAATGAATAGAAGTAGAATGGAAAGTCCTCTGCAAACAGGCTGCAGGAAGAGGAAAGGAGGAAGGCCTGTGCTGTTCTCAACCTTCACAGGCAGCTTTTGGTATCGAAGGTTTTGTCTTAGAGATAAACTAAAATCTGTCTGTCAGCCCATTGTCAGATGTAAGAATTGTGGTAGAGGCTTACTCTTTGCACAGATGTGAGACTGGACCACTTCCTTCCTTGGCTTGTCTGTCTATTCACTAAGTCAACAAATATTCATTAATGCCAATCTCACACCAGATCTTGTGCTACCTTTTCCTAGTAGACAGGGATCAAGTCAGACCAGAAAGGAGATATGTAACCAAATCGGGGAACTCGTTCTTAGGGAACAAAAACATCATCTGCAGAATTAATCCAGCTGCTCAGTTCTTCCTCCTCCTTGGTCTCCAACTTCCTCCAAGGGCCACCAGGTTAGAAGGAGGTTTGAGGAGCCAGTGAGTGAAACCTTTCCACCTGAGTCAGGAGCACATTTATAGCATCCTTATTGAACAAGAACCTGTCCACAAAGAGCCACCTCCAGAAACGATCCCCCACTGACAGTCCCCACCCCCGCAAATGCTGCTAACAGGAACATGTCAATCCAGCCTTATTCCTTCCCGCTCATACACTGACCAAGTGTAAGGTGTTACCTTTGTGTGTCAATGAGCTCCCTCGGAAGGTCAAGGTTCTCTTTTCTTGTTTGTGGGTGTCAAATGCCCAGAAAAGGTTCACCACATAGCCATTCACCTGCCAAGAAACAGAAAGCATGCCATGTAAGCAGCTAATATAGCCAGCACACAAACACAATACGCAGAAAAAACAGCACAATTCTCTTGTTTCATTAGGTGCCTCCTTTCTGACAATAGGCAGGTGGCTTCTTTTGATTTTAAAAAAAATTCTATTTGTGCTGTTAAATAATATTTAGTTATAGAAACAAATGTGAGATCGTTTATAATATAAAATATATCCAATGAAACAAAAAAATAACACAGGATGAAAGGACAAAAATCAATTAACCAAGGTAGAAAGAGGAAATATTGAAAAGATACTTGGTAATTAAGAGTAAATCTCAGCTCAGGTTGTCTGGCTGGTGAGAGCTCCAGGAACCAGGAAAGACTTTTTCAAGTTCTCAGCTCAGAGAAAGTTCTGAACTAAAGATTTTACATATAGTACACAAAGATTTACAAAACCAACGACTGTTACAGACAAAAACCACAGTAAGGCCATGTCTTGGGTCAACTCTCTCTGAAGCTAAGAATAGGATGTTAAAATGGTACAAAGGCTCTGAAACTGTTTGTCCCAACACAAAGATTACAGATGGGGAAGGATGCAAGGAGAAGCAAATGCACAGAAAAGGACACCATGGAAAATAGATCTCCACTTGAGAGACCACAAGGACACAGATGACTCTGGTGGAGTCAACTATGCAGATGGCCCTGTGGAGGCACCAGCAGTGGCGGAAGAGGATGAATGGGGTGGATATAAGGGGCTATGGTTCCAAGGTATCCAACTCTCACAAGAAGGTTTCTCTTCTACTGTGGGACCCTCCACGTTAGCATTAGCACCAGGAAATCCAATAAAGCTGAAAATTACAGGGCACACATATTCTGTTAACACCAACTCTTTATTTGCACTGTAGCTGTGAACCATTTAATTATATGGTTACAGAAGAAAGGCACCAGGCTCAGGCAGGATAATTAGATGTGGAAACTCACATTGTTCTTCATGGGGGATGGAACCAACCTAGGTCTGGAATTTTAGCTTCACTAGATCATGTCATTCATTTTTTGTATTCTTAGCGAACTAAGTTGTATCAGTTCCCATACAAAGGAAAAGTTCCACCCAGTTGCTTCTTTGAAATGTCCACATTACCTTGATATCACCATCCATGGTCAGGGTAAAGCTTAGAGAGTTCTCATCATAGCTGTCAATGTGGATATCTGGTGGTGGAATCACTGAAAACAAAAAGGAATTCAAAGAGAGAAAGCACACCATGAAAAGTGAAGAAAGCAGGGCTTCACAGTTCTCAACTCCACAACAAAGCAGTCTTTCAGTTGGGGAAGAAAGGGCATTTCTTTGGCTCTCTTTAGCCGTCTATCTTTTCTACCACTGTGTTCCTGAAGTTGAGGTTGGGCCCACCGTTGCTCGGTGAGCACACAACAATCTTGGCTCAGTCAGCTGGCCTGGCAATTAGGTCGAGGAGGAAATTTCCACTATGTCAATGGCCCCACACAGCCCAGTCTGGCTCTTAAAGGGGCAGGGATCGCTATGAGTGCCATCTTCATGAGCTCTAACAAGTCCCAGGGATCTCTAGTCCTTTTGAAGGATGACAGCAGGAGGGATCATTAGTTGTGCGGCATTAATGTCTGTGTGGCAAAATGGGAAGAATATGCCTCTGAAGTCTAGCAATCTTAAAAGTTCAAATTCTGTTCTCTGTCACTTAAGTGCCAGGTAACCAGGAGCACATTATTTGTTCCTGGAGCCTAGAGGTAAGTATTTCTACACTTCACAGAGTGGGAAAAGTTAACTAAGATATGTACAGTGCCTAACACCTTTTCCTTTCGCCAACGAAGCCTCTTTGATGGCTTTAACAGCCAGTAAGCAATTGGTGTTCTCCAAAACACAGAAGCTCAAGCTGATGTCTGAGGGAGAAGGGAAAATGTGGCCTAGAGAAAAGCCCTTCTCAGTTCACCTGATGAGCACCATGCTGGTCATCTTAAAGGTCTGCCCACAACAAGGCTGACGGTGCTGAGTCAAGCATAATCTAAAAGGGCCCCACAGGATACATATGATTAGAAGACACTATTTGGTTGATAACATGTATATTACACTCAGCACACGGGACCCTTACTTAGGAAATGCAAGAAAGACTCAAAGCAATGGCAAAAAGAGATGGACTGAAATCTGGGGGAGTCCCTCCGGATGGTTAAACATGTCATAAAACTGGAATTGAGAAAACACAATAACCAGAAGAAAGGCTACCAAAAGCTTCTGAGAGCCAAAAGTGCTGCTGTTCTGGTAAAGCCAACCTGAACTATAATGACCGGGGGAAGGTCACAACTCTCTCTAGATCCCCTTTCCTCAACTACAAAATAATGATAAAAATACTTACAGGATTCATGTAAAACAAGAAGCATGGTACTTAGTACACAGAAAGCACTCAATAAATACTGGCTTTTCTCACTGTCACCATTATTCATCTACATCATTCACTAATCAACCCGGTGCTTCTCACTGCCACCACTGCTCTTTGCCCTTTATCTTCTCATGTTGTTACAGCCCCAAGTCACACATAGTCCACAGCATTGCTTTTTTACACAGCACAGAGTTGCCTCCTAAACATACCTTAATCAGAACACATGTGAGACGCCAAGACTCAACAAAATGAAGTTTAGGAAAAGCAACCACCCATTGAGATTTCCAAATGTGGAGGGGACTTGTGCTCACACAACTCAAGGAACATGCTGACCTTCCAAAGTCCCTTCTTTTGGATATGGATGGTCATATCTGGTTGACTCAGATGGTATACAAAGAAATGGTAACAATAAAAACTCTAGGGAAGTGTGGATTTAGCATGCTTTCTCTAGAACCTGCAGGCATTCTGCCCACTGATTGACTGACAGAACTAACTCTGGCTCCTTCCTGCCCTGACCTCTGCATTTTAGAAGTGACCAGAGAGTGACTCTAAAGTGATTCGAGCTTCTCACAGGCTCAGATTAAAGTAAATCCTGTCCTCACCCAATCACATTCTAGGCCACAGTGCTCATCTGGTTTTAATGCAAGTCCAGAAGTGAAAGTTCCCTGTGCCAAGGCTAAGATCAGGAAATCAGTCAGGAAGATGGGCTGCCTTCCACCTCCCAATGGGCAACAAGACCCTTCATTTGCTTCTTTAATTTTCTCCCTCACTGACTATTTCTTGAGTTCCCACTAGATACCAGGAATAGAGTAAGCAAAACAGATGAGATCTTGCCCGTGTGGCACATGCAGCATGAAGTGTAGCAACCTGGCAAGCAGAGTGGCCCCATGGCTGCAAATGTCTCAGCCCAGAAGGAAGCATGCAGAAGGATGATTAGGAGCACAGGTTTTGGAGTCAGGTATGTTGGGATTCAGTCCCAGCTCTGTCCCTTACTGATTGTGTAGCCTGGGACAAGTGACACACCTCCTCTTTGAACTTCCTTATCTGATTTTATAGTTAACCTGAGGGATCGATTAGGTGAGCTAATGTACAGAGCAGTGAGCCTGACCAACACCCACCAGGTCTGGCACTAGAAGCCACCACTAACAGTTTCCTGGAGGAAGTCACAAGTGTCAGCATGGAGCTTTCTCTAAAACACCCAAAAATGACCATGGGCAAACCATCTCCATCTTTCATGAGAAAGGGCTCCTTCTGTTTTAGACACTGTACGTGCTCACAAAGCGAGGGCATGATGGCCTTTGGAAGTACCTTTAATTCCAGGAGGAGGAGGGATACACACAAAGGTCACCCCAAAAGACTTCGCATATAAAGCAATACAGAGATACCCCGAAGTGTGTGTGTGCTGGGGAAGAGGAAGTGGGCTGAAGTTTCCTAATCTATGCTCCTCCTTTCCAGTCTTGTTGAAGATTGTTTCCAAAGGGTTTCTATCTTCTCTAAATCTGCAAGTGCTGGAATCATTTACCTTTTCCTTTTATGGTGGTAATGGATTTAGAATCGCTCCAGTTTCCTATTCCACGACTAGTCACCGCAGCCACCTTTTCAAATCAGAGTGTGAATTAGTAGGAGATAAAGGCAATACACCATAGAGCAAGAATTCTGAGTGAGCTATAGGAAGGGGGTGGGGGTATTCGAATTGAGGGTGGAAAAAATTATATACCGAGTGACCCAGGACATTTAGAGGTGCCAGCAACTGAGATAAGAGGGGAAAAGAGACAAAAGGAAAGAGCTTGGGCTATGGGAATTCTAATACTCCTAAGATTACAAAATATCTATTGATTGACAGATGTTGAAGTTCTTCTAACGGGTTAGAGGTATGTGTGTGTCTATACATATCTTTCTAAGTTCTATACACACACACATGCACACACTCACACATACACACACTCACATGTGAAAAAGGGTATTAGGGGAGTCATAACGGCAAGGGAGTTTCTGCAGGATGTGTACTTAATGGTCGCAATAAATGTGCTCAAAAAAATCTAGCACCTTTCTGAAGATACTGGTTCCTAAGAACTTCACAAAGTCAGTTTATAAATGCCACTTATCATAGGTCTGCATCACCCTGAAACTAAAGAGAAGCAGAGAAGCAGAGGATGCAAAAGTACAGGTACTGGAAAGCTAGCAGAGTATCTGAGTTACAAGCAGGGAAAGTTGCAGTACCAAGTTCTTGGTTATCTGAGGAAGTCTGATTTCCTACTTCAGGACAAGGGAGCTGGGGATTTTGCAGAATACTAATATGCATTTTGTAAAAATAAGCACTGAGTTCTCAGGAAGTGGTGCCATCTGTGTAAGACCTCAGGCTGCTCAGATGGCAGGAATGGATGTGAACACTCACTCTGACAGTGTAGAGAGCATTGACCACTAAGTTCTTTATTTCTGTTGAGTTACTAGCAGTCCTCTGGGAGGCCCACATCTTGGATCCACTCCTGCTGTATTCCACCTAAAGTGAGAAGAAAACATATGAGTAAGAGATAACCAGGGGTGTGGAACACCTAAGACCTTGGCAAAGAGGTAGAAAGCAAGGTGTTAAATGTTCCATTGGATGGTCATTAACCACAAAGCTGTCAAATCAACAGAACACCCAGAAATCTCTAGCACCCTGGCACTCATGCCAACTTTTGGAAGGTACTTACAATGTACTCGCGAATGAGACCTTGGGTATGGATGGGAGGAGTCCAGCAGCCAACAATCACACCTTCGGCTTCACTGTGGAGTGACAGCTGGAGGTTTCGAGGGGCATCTGGCACTAGAAAAGAGTCAACTTGGAAGTTAAGCGATCCCTGGCATGCAGACAATATGAACTTACACACAGAAAAAGCTAGACTCAAGCCAGGTATAGTGGCTCACATCTGTAATCACAACGACTTGGGAAGCAGAGATCAAGAGGATAGTGGTTTGAGGTCAGTCTGGGCAAAACATTAGCAAGACTCCATCTCAACACATATGCTGGGTGAGGTGGCATGTGCCTGTAATCCAAGCTATGTAATTCAAGCCATGTAATCCAAGCAATGAGATCTAGTCCAATGCCAGCCCTGGGCAAAAAGCAAGACCCTATTTGAAAAATAACTAAAGCAAAAAGGGCTGGGGGCATAACTCAGGGTTGAGCACCTGCCAAGTGTGAGGTCCTGAGTTCAAACCCCAGTATTTCCCCCCCCAAAAAAAAGAAGAAAGGGAGGGAGGGAGGAAAGTCTAGACCCAAGAACAACAACAACAACCCCACTGAAATTGATAAATGCATTCAGTAAAGTTGCAGGATTCAAGACCAACATTCAAAAATCAGCATCATTTCTATACACCAATAAGAAATTCATTGAAAGGAACCAAAAAAAAAAGAAAAGAAAAGAAAAAAAACCAAAGTATCTAGGAATAAATTTAACAAGGAGGTAAAAGATCTCTACAATGAAAATTATCAAACACAGATGAAAGAAACTGATGACACACAAAAAAAATAGAAAAAGGTCTCAAGTTGATGAATTGCAACAACTAATATTGTTAAAATGTAAGCATTACCCAAAGTGATCTGTAGAATCAATACAAACTATCAGAATACCAATGACATTCCTCACAGAAGTAGAAAAAAACACACTCCTAAAATTTATATGGAACCGTAAGTGATACTAAAAGCCAATGTAATCCTGAGCAAAAAGAACAAAGCTGGAGGGAGCACACTTATTAACTTCAAACAAGCTGTAAAGCTGTAGCAACCAAAATGGAGGGATACTGGCATAAAACGTACACACAGACCAGTGGAACAGAAGAGAGAACCCAGACTTGACTCTACATATTTACAGCTAACCTGATTTTTGACAAAGTTACCAAGAACATACTCTGGAGAAACAACAGTCTGTTCAACAAATGGTGCTGGGAAAACTGGATATCCATTTGCAGCAGACTAAAGGTAGATTTCTATCTTTTACCATATACGAAAATCAACTCAAATCAAAGACTTAAAATGTTAAGAGTCAAAACTGTAAAGTTACTAGAAAAATTAACAGACATAAAGCTTCAGGACATTGGTATGGGGAAAGTTTTTTTTTTTTTAATATGACCCCAAAAGTATAGGCAAGAAAAGTAAAACTTGACAAATGACACTACAGCTAACTAAAAAGCTCCCATACAACAAAGGAAACAGTCAACAGTGTGAAGAGACAACCTGAAGAACAGGAGAAAATATTTACAAACCATTCACCTGACAAATAATTAATATCCAGAATATGCAAAGAATTCAAACTCAACTACAAAAAAATAACAATCTGATTTTAAAAAAGACAAATGATCTGCACAAACAGCTCTCAAAAAAAGATAGATGAATGGCCAATCATGAAAACATGGTCAGCCATCATTAGTTACCATGAAACTGTAATTCAAAACCACACGAAATAGTGTCTCACCCCAGTCCAGGCCATTGCCAAAAAAGACAAAGATGCAGGCAAGGATGCAGAGAAAGGGAATTCTCCTATACTGCTGGCAGGAATATTAATTAGTACAGTATGGAGGTATATCAAAAAGCGTACAATGAGAACTATCAAATGACCCTGTAATCCCACTTCTGGGTATACACCCAAAGGAAAGGAAACCAGGATGTTGAACAGACACCTGTCCTCTCACATTTACTGTTGTGCACAGTGCTGCACAGCAGTCAAAATATGGAATCCAGGAGGTGCCCACTGATGGACAAATGGATAAAGGAAATGGGGTGCATATATACAATGGAATATTATTCGATCATAAAAAGAATGAAATCCTGTCATATGTAGTAACACAAATGAACGTGGAGGACGTTATGTTACGCGAAAGAAGGCAGGCACAGGAAGACAAATACCACGCGTTCTCACTGATATGTGTAAGCTAAGAAGTTGATGTCACAGAAGCAGAGAGTAGAACAGTGGTTATCAGAGCCTAGGAAGGATGGAGAGCTGGGAGAAGGATGGAGAGAGGATGGCTAATGTACACAAGGGTACAGCTGGAGAGAAGGAATAACTTCTAATGTTCAACAGCACAGTAGAACAACTAACATTGGTAAAACTTAATTGAATATTTCACAATACCTAATAGTAGGGACTTTGAATGTGTCTAACACAAAGAAACAATATATTCAGACATGACAGATATACCACATGATCTGATTACACATTGTATTCATGTACTGAAGTGTCATAC